GTGAATGTAGTAAGATTTGCTAATACTGAAGAGCAACCATCAGAGAAGGAAATAAGATTTTACAAGACCTTTGAGTGGATTAATTTAATTTATAAAGGGATTCTTTCCTAATTGACCCCATTAGTGCTTTTCTTATTCTGTTTACCAAGCTCAGTGTCTCACTGGTCAGCCTGTGATCAACTGAGTCTTCCCTTTTGCTTTTTTGAATGTTAATAAAACATGGTTAGTCTTTCAGTGCTCAAGAATGCCTGTAATTTTAGAAATTATTAAAAAAACAGCAATAAGAAGACCAAAGATCACTTCACCATAGTTTTTAGGTTGAATTAGCATGACCTGCTAGTTTGAAAATATTCATCTCTGTGTATATGCTGTTTTCATATCATTAGCATTTATCAATAAGCTACTTATTCTCATTTGCTGACTTCTGTTTCCTACAAAATGCAGACAAAAATTACTTATTGACCATTCTGCTTTTCATTGTTGTAATTTGACCATTTTCATACAATAATTCAGTTAGACCACTTAGATCGTTTCTTTTCTTTCCAGTGTATAATTCCTAGATTTTTCACATTTTTCCTATCATACCTTAATATAATAAAATGAATTTTTGACATAATAAATTTTTATTTATATTTATTATCTCCTTTCTTTCTGTTCTTATTTCTTTTCCTTTTTTGTTTTATTTCCAATTGCTGATTTTACTGCACTGAAGAACTATAATTGGCTTTTACCCAAACTTTTCCATCTTGATTGTTGAATCATGACTTTTTACTTAATGGTTGATTCTTACAGATCTTCTACTTTTCATTTTCAGTCTTAATATGTAAATTGAACAAAATTTTCTTCTTTCATGTGAAATAGTTTATTGAAGGAAGTGCAGAGGAAAGAATCTTTACTGTTTTCTTTCCAGCAGATCTGGCAACATGTCTGGTCATGCCTTGACTCTCTGGGTTTGCTGAAACTCCTATTTCAATAGCAGATGCATATGGGGCCTTGGGGTGGGTTTTATTTTTCTTGCTATCTTAGGAGTTAGTATGTTTTCCTAAGCTGTATGTCCCACCTTAGTGTTCTAATTCATGTCTGTGTTTAATGCAAATTGTTGTTGTGTTCACATTTTATACCTTGCTGTTTCACAAAGAAAAGGGTAAAGTGCTGAATTTAACAAGCATTACTAACCTGCTGTACTTTTGAATGTTTATGAGTTTTCAATTTATTTTTGACATGGGCTTGTTTAGGAACGTACAGGAGATTAGTTTTATACTTTTGTCTGTAGTCGTACTGAATGTATTCACTGCATTCGACTAAAATACATTGTCATCAAGGAAGTGACTGGAGCATGCTTTTTGTGGTGCTTCATTCAGTTCCCACTGATACCAGTGGAAGTCTTTGCAACTGAGTCTGAGCAGGTTCTTGATCAACTGGTTTTACTTATCACAGTTCACTAGAAATGTTCAGTTCTGAGAACGGAAGGCAAAAGGCTTATTGCTTGCTGGCTATCTGAAGGAATATAGGATGCTGCTTTATCTCAGAGTTAGTTGTGTTTTCTTCTCATTACAGTGTCCTTCTGCTTGCAGAGTTATGTAACATATTTGCTTCCCTCATTCATTAAGCACCGAATGGAAACAAATTTACCAGTTCCCAGCAGTATCAGATCAGTTTAACTCCAGCATGTAAAGTACTATTTGTTTTGCTTTTATTACCAGCATATTTGGACAAGAGACTGGCTACGTGCTAAGAGGTCTGTATCTGTGCTTCAGGAATGTACTTTGTCATATTTATTTCACACCTTTAGTTGCCTTCAAAACACAAATTAAATAGAACAAAGCTAAACAGAGGTTGAAAAATGGCAATCCAGGGAATAGTCTCAATAACACATTGAAAAAACGTATTGTCACCGATCTTGTGAGCAGCATAATGACTCTGCACGTGTAATGAAAATTGGCATTGAATTTTTCTTCAGACTGCCAGATTTACTAATATCATATTTCCAATGTGTTTTTTTACTGACATGCTTATTTGTTTGTTGGTTTTGTTTTTTGTTGGGGTTTTTTTTTTTTAGATAGCTTCTTCTTGTATATGTCCTTTTTGAATGAGTTCTCGCATATTAGAGGTGTATTCCTTAGAGTATTAAACTATTGTATTTGTAGAGCTAAACTTAGTCCTGCAAATTTTACTGAAGTGGACACATTTATGTAGGAGTAGCTCTGCTCTCTTGAGTGCTTGTTTGCTGCTTGTCCTAGCATTATTCATCTAGTCACAGTCACTCTCTGCTGTCCATTTGCGCAGTTTACCTGTGTTGCAAAAGTGTAATGCTTTTACAATGTCTTGCACATTGCTTTTCTTCTTCCCCCATTTTCTTTCTGATGGCTTTATGAAGCTGAAAATAATATTTTAATTGGTTATTGGCAGCCGCAGGAAGTTGAAAAATGTACATTAATTAGCTCTGGCTCTTGGCTTATTCACATGAATATAGACATTTTAGTCTCACTAACACTTACAGGGTCAATATTTCTAATTCCACACTGGTTATATCAATGGGTAGAAGTGTTGTGCTGTTGTACAAATTTCATTTTCTAGTTGAAAAAAACCCCATCAAATTTCAGCCTCTGTTTCTCTTCTTTTCTTGTATTTATGTATTTATTCACTTAGAATTTTTGCAGTTTGGGATAATAGCTTACTTTTTAATAGGCTGAAATGATGTCAGGATGAAAGACCACAAAAAGACATTAATAATTCAATAATCTGTCTTAAAATGCCACACCAGTGATGAATCTTCAGTAGATATCTAAAGATATAGATAAGTACACACAGAGATTGACATGACACTATGCTAAGTACTGACCCAAAAGCTAAAAATGTGAGACCAGACTGTCTGCTCATATATTCGGCAGCAGAGACCGTAGAGTGAGATGGGGCATTTATGTGCCACTCCTGTGCGACTGCTGCCACTGAGTTAAGAAAACATTTTATACCTGCTGAGGATGCAATTCAATTTCTCTAGAAGAGAAAAGGTGTTCTGCTCCTGTAAGTGGAAAAAAAGATTTGCAACAGCAGTGAAGTTGCAGGTTTCTTTAACTTTGATATTTGGAGTGAAAGAAGCACAATCAGTTATGGTTGATGGAAGCTTATATGCAATGAGATGTGGAGCAGTCTGAGCATGTTCCCTGCTGAATATTTCTGAGTAAGATATTTTGCAGATACGAAGCTATTTTTTGTCCTTACAGAGAGAGCGTAGATGAGTTAGAAAGACCATCTGCATTGCTTCCTGACATTTCAGTGAAAGTCTTTCAAGTCAACTTTCATGTAGCTTGTGGATGAAGCTTTCTGTAAGACTTGTCCTAGTTGTCTAGTGGAAGGTGTCCCTGCTTCTGTCCCTAACCATTCTATGGTTGTCTATGATCGTCCTGCAAGGTACTGTTTTCAATGAATAAACACACATAATTGCACCCCAGAGTCCATAAATAAAGCTGGCCATGATAGTGATTGTCATGCTTTGAAAAATATATTTTTTGTTTGTTTTTTAGACATTGTCTTTGTTCCTCCCCCCACCCCTCTGGGTCATTTAAAAGAATTAATAGAGATGTAAACTACAGATCCTGACAATCTGTGCCCATTAGCAATACTTCATACTTCTTTGGAAAGAATTTGAATTATTATCTCAAAAAATGTGGCTAACTAATTTGGATTATACTTCTACCAGTTGCATAGAAAGTAATATGGTTGATAATTTGTGTATATTGCAGATATTTAAATTAAAAGTTTAAATTTAATAATATTTTTATCTGGTTTGGGGTTTTTGTTGTTGTTGTTGGTTTTTTTTACTTTAAGTTAATTAGTTGAAATCCTAGGAATTAATGTTATAGTTTTATTATAAATGAATTAAAATTGAAGTAATTTATAGTAATCTTTCAAAAATGTCTTCATTTTCATTTATAAAACATAATCACTCTGTAGTGGTATTGGAAAATCAGAATTGCTTTAAATAAGGTAAAAATTAAGCAAAAGAGGACTGAAGAGTATTATATATGTAAATGTAATTAAAAAAAGATATAATGAAAAGAAGAAAAACAGGTATGAGAAGAAACTAAGAAAGAAAGAAAGAAAAAAAAATGAGGCAGGAGGAATAGGAACATGGAGCACGGAACAGCCTTATTGCAGACCTAGCATGAAAGAGAGTCTGCACTAGAGAAGGATATTCTGAAATAATTTCAAAGATGGTGTGGTATTTGCTCATTTTTGAGAGAGTCATGGACTGATATAATAAGTGCTACCAACAGAGCTGGTTAATCAGAAGAGGTGTAACAAGACAGCTACTTTAACTACTCTAGAAAAAAAAAATAATGGGTTGATAAATCCTTTTGCAATAAAAGCGTGGGCTTTTGAAAAAAATAATGCTTGATTCATGTGTAGCTCCTGTCATACATGGAAAAAAAACTCCTTGGGTTTTGAAGGAATTAGACTGGGTATGACAGGGCTTCAGTCAGAACAGTGAAAAAAAACTCTGTGGCTTCCACAGGTACTCCATTATAATGAGATCCTTTGCTTCAAACTTTACATATCTGTGGCTGAGCTAATGGTGGAAGGTTCCCATTGTTGTGGAGAGAAATATTCAGCTTTAATCTTATTCTTATTTAGACATCTGATACTGATCACACGAATCTGCTGAAGCACTAAGTGTTTCTTCCCATTGATTCTAAAGGGAGACTCGAGCAATGACTCAGATGTACATGTATGCAGTATAAATATCTACTTTAAACATATGCAACCAGTCCTTCAAGCTGAAAATCTGTTTTAGAAATTGCCTTAGTCCTTACTCCAAAGGACTATATATTAAGACAGTCCCTGAAAGAATTGAGTCCTGACTACTAGCAATTTATTTTTTTTTTCCTGTCTTTTATATTCATTAATTATGTTTTTATTTAAACACTAGTAATTTTTTTTTTTTTTTTACTTAAATGCTAGTAACAATTAATTTTTATCTACTATTTTTTTAAACCCAGAAACTACCTCTTCAGGTTGCAGCTTGAGGATCTCTCTCTAATACAGGTATGTTTTATGTTTGTTTTCTCAGTTACTCTGCATGATGTAGGTAAGCAGATGCTTTAAAACAAATTATCAAGATATTCACAAGCTTCGTAACTACAGATAAGTATGCATCTGTTTTTGTCCTTTTTGTGGCCCCATGTTATAAAAGTTATATTATCCATTTTAATTCCAGATTAGCCTTTGTCCCAGGCCACACAGACCTGATGCTGCCTTACTTTTTGTTGTGATTTTGTTAGAGCAGATCTCTAAAAAATGGAAGCTGGGAAGGAGGATCGTGTTCTCTTGGAAAAATGTTCCATATTATTATTGTGCAGCTTCTGTATTCAGAATTTATTGTTATTATAGAAAAAAGATATTTTTAAAATAATGATAAATACATTTCATTCATGCTTGCTTAAGCTAAATTAGGCAAATGAAGCAGCAAATTTTCAAGGAAGAAATACAGTGTGAACCCAGGTATCAGAATCTCAGTTTTGTATATTAGGCAGCTATCTATTTAAAAGTTGTTAGAGCTTGGAAGGTGAAACAAAGCCTTCTAGAGACAGCTAGGCTTTGTAGAAAGTTAGGTGAGAAGACCTGATCAATTTATTTTACCCTGACTTCCATATACCAGCAGTCTCTTCTTCCCTCAGTCTTCAAAATGCTATTCTTTGCTTAGGTTTTGTTGGTTTTCTCTTTCATTATTTTTAACCTTGGCATAATTTCTAACCTTCATCATTCTTGTGTTCTTGGCTCTAAAAGTTGTTTTAGTAAGTTTAATTAAATTGGCTAACTTGCTAAGGTGTGGAAATAGAAAATCACAATGAAATAAATTGTATGGTTTTTCATAATATTTTCATTTATGCAATTTAAAATTAGCTAGCTTTAGATTCAGTACTGGGCCTGTTATTTCACAAAGTGATTCTATATGGTTGAATATGGAAAAGTTAAATGCATTCAGGCAAGGCTCTCCTTGTGATTTGTAGAACACCTTGTGTCTACTTTAGTTAGGCTTGCAGACTTCTTTTACTTTTCTAGGCTACTAGAAACAAGACCTGAAGTTGATTTATAGTTAGACAAAAATGCAGTATTGATAAATACTTGATTTTGTTGCTAGTGGTTAAGGCTGTGATGCACCAACCACTTTGAATACCCAGAATTCAGGCTGTCTCCTTTCACTTTATGTGACATATTCAATATCCTGGAAGATAATTTGGGTTAAGTCCTAAAGATTCTTGTTGAGAGGCTGCACTCGGAGATCTCTGATGGTGCTGTTGTAGATTGTCATTCACATCTTTCTTTTGTCAAAGGAAACAGTCATACTGTTATACTAGGTTACTAGGATGTGGTCTTATGAATGTGCAGAAGACTTTAAACAGACAGTCTTGAGCTGACTTGTAAAGTTGTATTTCTAAATTAAAACCAAAGTATGTAAGCTGTTTGTTTGTTTGTTTGTTTTTTCTTTCACCGGCGTATCTTTACTACCCCCACTCCAAGTATTTCAAGTTCTTTTCCTTATTTTCAAGCATACTGTTATGGCTACTTCATGTTTGTCCCTCACAGTTCTCTTCTTCCTCTTCTTCCATTCTGCTTCCCTTCTGGTTTTGTTAGAGTGCCCCAGGACAAAAGATGTGTTTCCTTGGATGTACCAGTTATGGCAGCTCCAAATCAACTGTGAGGTGTTTGTTTTGATGCAAGTAAGCCAGGATGGAAGATGTATTGTTCAGGACTCCCAAACTCATTTACAGGACACCCTTGGGTCATTTTGTAAAGTTAGTCACTGATCTTATAGTTATAAAAGTAGATTTGAGAGAGTTATTGAGAGGCCATTTAGCCCTTCAGGTACCTCAGGGCAGGATCATTGGTCAGTGCTGCTGTCCTTACTGGTGGTTACTTGTCTAAACTCTTCTTACAAAGTCTTAAACCATAAAGATCCACAACTTTTCTCAGCTGTTGTTGGGAAATGTTAAAGCATGAAGAGAGTTTCTGTCTAATGCTGGAAAGTGTGAAAGCTTTAGTAATGAAAGTAGTAACTATTCCTGTGGAAACTTGGAATTCAAATTTACCAGCTACCAACCTGAAACCCACCTAGAGCCAAGAGTGTATTTACCAAATAATTCACCAAGATTTACAGGCTATTCAGCTAAGTTTTATTGGAAGAACAGAATCCTAGCCGTGATCCCAGTCAACCCAACATATTGTATAGGATTACTTCAGATATAATTGAAGTAAACTTCTATTTCTGAAACTTTAGGGAATGTGAAGTTTTTCTCATTCGCATGTGGTGAAATAAATACTTTGGGTAGGATTAGAGGATATAAAGTTCACCAGGTTAGCAATTAAAAATAATAATATTTTGAAGCTCCAGATCTTTCAAACCTGCAAGTATTATGGTTGAGGGAGGCAGGAACAAAAGTGAGAAGCAAAGTAAAAGTTATATGGAATCCTTGCAAAACAGAATGATGGAATTTCACAGGAGAAATAAAACATACTATGGTTTATCTCATTAATACTGTATGTGCTAGTTAGCATTTGTTTGCTGAGGGACTGAACACTTTACACATAATACTTTATGTACGAACGAAGAACTTTTCTTTTAGCATTTTTTTTTCCACACAATTATTGTCATAATAATGTAAAAACCCAGTGTGATTCTTCTAGTTATGTTTTTCACTTTGAATTCTTTGCATGAGACAGCCTTTGTAAAAACATGCAGATGTTTCACAAACTAATAAACTACGTTTTCACATCTGGAAGGAAAGGTGCACGATGAAGTGCTAGCTGTAAGAAACTTTTCCTGTAGCACAATAACAATACGAAAGGGCTAGAAACAGGACAACCTATACACCTGTTGTTTAATTATTTTAGAAAATTGCACAAGCTTTATCTTTGCTATGGTGTGTCTGAAGGAGGAGTAAAATTACTGACTCTTCCTCATGCACAGCAGATACTTCCATCATGGAAGCAAGGATGATTGCTACAATTTACATACTTCTATAGTTTTCAGTTAGACTTTTATAACTGTTTATTTTCTTTACACTGATGCTTTGATTTTTTAATTTTTTTAATTTTGATTCATCAGTTTAATCTTTCTTATAGTACATTTCTATGTGGAAAATAAAGGGAATGCCTAAAACTTAATCTTGACTGTTGGTGCACTTCAGTTATTTTTGTATAAGCACATTTCCTCATCTGTCATGCTTAAGCGTCTGTTGAAATGTGTCGTTAGTTTGTCCACACACTACTATTATGAAGATAAAAGGCTTCATGTTACATATAACAAACTGGAGCAGATAAGAATAATTTACTTATAGCAAAAGCATTGTTGCAAATATTTTGTTTATGAATTTCCCTATTTTTTTAAAAAATGTAGAAATTTTATAAATAAATTATTATTTTGGAATATTATCAGTCATTGCAATGTTATCAGATAATAGTTTTGTAATAGGTAACCTCTCTAAAAAGGAAAAAAGTAAAATAACGACTCCTTGTTTGCAAACTTTTTCAAAAATTACTTTGGACCAAAATATGTATGTGCCCTGTTTCCTTCAAATGTATACTTGGATAATAGTTTTGAAACACAAGGTAACCTTCCTTTAGAAAAAACACCACAAAACCAGACAGCCATTTGAAATGCAAGTTCTCACAAAAGAAAAGCAGAACAGAGATTCATGTATTAAAAGGGTACTGTTTCCATCAGTTTAGTGAAAGTTAATCCCTTGTAAAAGTGAGCGTTAGAGTGCTACTATCAGACAGGATGTGTATCTAAACGTGAGCTAAGACTATGCAGTGAGACATAGTTTCCCATTGTGGGTGCATCAAAGTTGTCATTCCACATGTCATGGTTCTGTGCTCTGTACTTTATAGGAAAGGCCTGTTGTTTGAGTAAGCAAGTTTTGTACGACAGTGTCTGTAGCAAATGAGTATTTGATGTGTCTCAGCAATTTCCTTTGTGTAGCAGAATAAAGAAGACTAAAAAGACTGAAAGCCTTTTAAGCTCTTGCCGGAGAAGCCTAAGAGTCAAATTGTTCAAAGCTGACAGTTGGAATAATGCATGCATAGCAATTATGGATTAGGAAAGAGGCACTCATTGGGCTGTGGTTGTAGAAGGACAAATATTTTATACCTCCAGTGCTGTATAGTAGGCTCACAGACATCGAAGTCCTGACTCTGCATTGCTTTGTTTTGTGAGTTTAGCCTTGTTGATGCTTACCTCAAGTAATAGCAAGATAATCCATAAAAAGCATTGGCCAAGATGAAAGATGGATTTCCTGACAACTCTCTTATATTCCTTAAAATATAAAAGCAGAAATCTAAATAGTAGTGTTTAAGTGAATAGATTTGTTTTAAAAGTGCTTTAAAAAAGATACCTAGCCAATGTCAGGATTAATGGTGAGGCTTTCATGTCATGTAGAGGATGGCTATAACAAGTGTCCATTTTTCACCTTTTTTATTTTTTCCAAATTATTTTGAAAGGAGAGCTTCTAAATGAAATCATTTATTTGTGTCTACTTACATGACAGGTTTGCTGATGTATCTGTAGAGAGTAAAAAGCTGACACATGCTGGCTTGTAAAAGTGCTTATGCCACAATTGCCATAAACATTTTTACAAACCAGCGTATATAAGCATCCAGAAGATGAACTTTACAAAATTAGCTTGTTAAGGCATTTACAGGGCACATGATTGAGTTTGCCTTTCTCATCTGAATCTTCCATCTATGAAGCCTAATCTCAGTTTCAAATGCCCAGAAGGTTGAATATGAGCCTATTCCACCTGCTCCCGTAGTTACATAATTCTTCTGAGATTTTTATTCTCATGCTGAATCTGCACTTCTTTCAGTTAGAAATACACATACCGCAAAGTCTGTTTTTAGAGGCAATTTTAGCCCCTAGTTTACCACAAGATTCAAATTAATTTCTTTGTGCAGGCTAAGAAGATTGGAGATTCTTTCTTTTCCATGTGTTTTACTCAACTTTAAATTTCTGAATATTGAGTTTTGGGGTTTTTGTGTGTGTGTGT